TTTTTGGGGAAAAAAAAAAAAAAAAAAAAAAAAAAAACCTCAAAATTTTAGCTCTTCAATGTTAATTGAGTGTGGTATATATTTATTAATCTCTCTTTTTTTTTTATTAAACTTATTTGATTCTTCCTTTCACATTTGGAAATTCAGGTTCAAATAAAATTCACCCATTTTTTATGATTTATTTTCAAAATTTGTATTTTTAAATAATTTTTCCAAAAAATTTTTGAATTATAATCTATAAAATTTTTGCCATTATATTAAAAAAGACGTATTTCTAAGCATACCTGCAAAAAATTACAGTTTTTTATTTAAATTTCCAAAGATATACGTGAATTTATATATTGGCGCGTTTTGAAATTTGGCATATTTGTTGAAAGTGATAAAAACATCAAATGTGGTTTAGACACTGCTAAAATTATTTGAAAGTAGGAATTATATGACTTTTTTCCCGCTCCTGCACAATGTAAAACCATAGGAAAATTGGTTGGCATATATTAAGAAGTTTGCCAAGTGAATTATTCATGGCACAAAGGGAAAAAATTATGCCAAGATAAATTTTTGAATTTCTCAGTTAAATTTCGCATCAAATTTTACAAAATTTAGTGTCTAGTAAGTAATTGCAGTAATTTGAGTCGTAGAATTGAAATATGGAAAAAAATTGGTATGTTATTTCAGAAAAAGTCCGATTTTATGCAAAATACCTATGTTAGAACAATGCTATATATAAATCTAATACGTATCCTAAGTCTAGCTTTTGAGACATGAAAAACTCAATTTGAATTTCGTCAATCGGCCCAGTAGAATGAGAGATATAGAATTGCCCCCCCTTTTTTTTTTTTGGCGCAGTGTACTTTAGTATTAGAAATTTTACTAGTTAGAGATAAAGTGATCAATGTGTGCAACCCCCAAATATTATCCGATCTTCTTGAAATTTGGCATATATATCTTTTACATCACTAAGACTTGGGGCATAAGCAAACTCGTATGAAGATCTTTGGAAAAATGAAATACACTAATGCGCATTAAGTTGGAGGAGATGCATCAAAAACATTTATATGACTGTAAGAAAATTTCACATATGAATATCATTCAATCCACCATGCAAATGATTGAATTTTGGAAGTTAAGGAATTAATAAATGGAACTACCGATTATTGCAGCTAAACGTTCAGTTGGTGTATAAAAGAAGAGAAATTCTTCCGCTAGGTCATAAATTAATTCTAATTTGATTTCATCTAATAAATTTGATTGTATCAATACCTCACAAATGGATTCATGCGCAATAGAAGTATACATCACTAGTTGAGCGAGTATGTGCAGTAGGTCTAAAAGAAGCAGAGTGGTCAAATTGAAGAATCGCCTAAATGCTCAGGTCGAAGTGATGCCATTGGGAGAAATAGTTGAATTATCGCAGAGCACAGTGTCAAGAAGGCAGTGGTCAATTCAGGAAGACAACAGGATAGAGGCATCATCAGAATGGCTGTTGCAGCATCTGATTCAACATTAATATTGATTTGATATGCAGCTGGGATGCACTGTTGGCAGTCTATTTAGAGAATGGAATTTTGTGCTCACAAACCCTGTTGTGCTGACTACCCTTAACCTGTGCATAATGACAAGCAGAGTTACAGTAATGCTGATCTTGTTTAATCCAGAATCTTGCAGACTTGAGTAGAATTGCTGTCAGCGATCGATGAGTCTCACTTTGAATTGAGCCATGATGGCCAGCGAAGATAGTATTTCTTCATGATTCCTTCCCCTTTTAACTTATTTTATGATCTAAATGTCTAGAGGGGAAATATGTGTGAGTAATTTAATTTCCGAAAAATATGGTTACTGTAAGATCATAACTGATATCTGATGGTAAGTGTGCCAGACATGTCGTGCTCCTCTGCCTGATATATCCAGCTCAGTTACCTTGTTATCCACCAGGGGCACTTCATATGAATGAGTATTGACCCATTTCCTAAGAGAGGCATCAGAGAAACGAAGGAGAAGGGATCAAACAAAAGATCTAAATCTCAAGGGATCAAACACATTAGCAGTAGAGAAGGTTACAGTATTGGTTTAATTTCAATGTTAGTTTTTCCCTTTAAATTCTTCATTCATCTATGCATATTGCTCTTGTCCTTGGCATCATCTCCATAAGCAGAGTAGCCTCTTGTGGATGTCCGACAACCTTTATCTATCCTCTGCAATCATCTGGACTAATGATTGTCCTTTGCATCTGCATGATATCCATTAGTTATGTGAAAAAGAAGGGTTATTCTAGAGAAAGAATTGCTCTGTAAATATGGATAATTTGAATAATGTATGAAACGTAAGTAATTGCAGTAAATTTGAAATAACAGTAAGTTGTGAACAGGTAAAGTTGGAAAGTTTCTTAAGTCTGAGAACACCAGTCACATCTGGGTAGATTAACACAGAAAATAAAATGGATGAAATGCAAATATAAAATTCAAATACAAATTGAATACATTGAATAAAAATAAAAATAATCAAGAAAGTACAATTTACGAATAAACTAGCCCTCAGAGGGGCTAATATTGTATAATAGGAAATAGAGAAAGGGGAAAATTATGCAAATGTTTTTAAAATTTTCAGAATCTAGTACTAAACACTTGGGGGTGGGGAAGATATGTGAGGAAATGTGGTATGTTTGGAGATGTTCAGGCCAGCAGTTGGATACTGAGCTGTCATCCATTGCAGAGGCTGACAGTGGGGGGGGGTGATTTTTGTTCATAGAATTTATTTGATAATCAGACTCCTTTGGTTGTCATCCGTGACACCCTTACAGCACAGCAGTACATCAGTTATATTCTAAGCCCTGTCATGTTGCTTTTCCTTTCGATGCACTTCAGGCTTACATTTCAACTGGATAATGCTCGATTGTGTATAGCAGTCATTCCTACTGATTTTCTTTGTGCTTGTTAAACATTTCTCCAGCCATCTAGATCAGCATATCTCATTCCAGTTTAATACACTTGATACATTTGAGATACGCTTAATTAGAATTTGATTTTTTGTTTTCTTTGACCTTTCTATTCAAATATCACACAATGAGTGAGTTTGGTAATTGCTTTTCATCTCTTTTTTATTTTTATTTTTTATTTATTTATTTATTTATTTTTTTAAGATTCTTAGTGCACAAAAGTAATTTTATATTGTTGTCTGTCATACTTTCACACAGTGATAAAAATGAATCTCTGGGATTTTTCATGTCCCTATTTTTTTGGTAATATTTTAAATTGTAAGAGGAAAAAGTTTTTTCATTTCTGCTATGGAAAAATGTTCTTTTAATTTTCCTTTTAGCTATTCCATTAGGATTTTACCAAAATTGATGGAAAGCTGACATGACTTTTTATTAATTGGTATATATTATTTGAATTCTGCTTGTATGTGTAGCATTTCTTTCTCAGTGCAAAAGTACTATTCAATGTAGTTTCTGTCACAAACAATGAATCCTACTTTCAAATCCTCATAAAATTCAAGTGTGCACTGCTGTACCTGCTTCTTCATAGCCACTTTGTCGGTGTTATCAGATCATTGTCCCCTAAGACTCACTTTCTTTGGATCAAAGAGACAGAAGCCTGGGGGTGAGAGATCTGGTCTACTAGGTGGGACCACAGACCATCCTAATTTGTTGATGATTGCCTGATTTGTTGTCAAATATGTATAATTTTGGTGAATCACGGTGTATGATAATGGTCTATGACAATTCATATCCATGGTTTTTGTTGATAGTTTCCCTCTGCATGGTTTAATTTCAATGTTAGTTTTCCCCTTTAAACTTCTTCATTCATCTATGCATATTGCTCTTGTCCTTGGCATCATCTCCATAAGCAGAGTAGCCTTTTGTGGATGTCCGACAACCTTTATCTATCCTCTGCAATCATCTGAACTAACGATTGCCCTTTGCATCTGCATGATATCCGTTAGTTATGTGAAAAAGAAGGGTTATTCTAGAGAAAGAATTGCTCTGTAAATATGGATAATTTGAATAATGTATGTCAATTAATAAGAAAGTTAGGTAAACGTTTGCATTACTTTCAATATAACTCATATATTCTAGTTTTCATTTCCAATTTTAGAACATTTTTCCTACTCTTTACATTCTTACCTCCTTAAACCACTGTTTGTCAATTTAATTAAGAAGAGAAGCAAAAATTTTTAACTGAAGCAGTCAGAAATTATGAAATTTAAAATGACCTTATCATTCTTTTCTACTTTCTCTGAGAGAGAACAAGTAGCAGAGAACAGTACTTGAAATTTTCTGGTAAAATCTATTTACATGCTCTTAAACCTTCCAAAGCATATTTTTGTGAAAGTGAAAAATTTGGCAGATTTCATTTGCTTGGGGCTAATTAGTAGATATTAACATGCTCTGCCCAAGCTGTTAGTGAAATCTAATCAGGTTTTTTTAATGTAACAGTCTAACTTTAGGGGGGGGGAAATTTTAAGTACCTCAGTAAGTTAAGTCCTAGACGTGAGATGGTTTCACAGTGTGACCACCACCCACAGAACAATGGGCAAGTGTAGATTTTTTTAAATTCCTATATTACTTGTCTCTAAGATCATAATATTCAATCTCTTTTAATTTACATTAATTCTTTTGAATTATTACGATACAAGATGAAGAAAAAACAGTATCTTTCTGTAAATTTATTCGAATATATATCTGTACTTTGTGTGCATTTTCCTTTTTTTTTTTTTTCAATTTTGTATTATTGAAGTTTTTAGTTAAAAAAATTATAAAAATAATATAACATGCGTCAAAGGGTTAACTTCACTGTATATCAAACTTCTTTTAGTTAAAATAAATGTTAATATGTTCTTTAAAAAATTCCTTAGTTATTCCATTAATTTTCCTTCAATTAATAGTTAACATAAAAGTCATTAATAAAACAAATTTAAACAGACATAAAGCAAACCATTAAATTCAGTTTCATTTATTATTTCATAAAAGGCTTGTTAAGGACTAATTTGTATGTCGCTTTCAGTAAATGTGGACCAGTGGTTGGAAAATTGTCAGATGGTGGATTTTATGAAAAAGTTTCTGGAGAAGGAGTTGGAGAATATAAAGTAGCTCCTTTGCCGTGTATAGGTAAATTCATCATTTCTGTACAATAGTGTAACTTTTGTATAATATTTGTAACAAAAATTTTGTTGGTAAATTTAATAAAGTTCTCAAATCTTAATACACTGAAAACAGAACACCAAGAAGGAGTGGCACGAAAATTATGCAAATTTCAGGATAGATGCATGTCAACGAGTTATGCGAATGATGTTAAATGTATAGGTTAAAAAAGATACAAGGAAAGGAACCTGCAGAATGTTCGATTTTCGTGCCATTATTTCTGCTAGAGAAATCATCATAAGAAACATTTTCTTGATTCAGAGGTTGCATGTAATAGAAGAGAAGGCAGGTCATCATCAATAGAGACAGTTTCAGCAGACAGACAATTCTATGAGGGGTATGGTGATCAGACTGAGAAGGGCAGGTTGGTCCATACGGCAAATCTCAGCTGATATACACCTGGACACGTCCATAGCGTACCAGTTGTGGCTATTCAAGATTTTTTTGAACTAACTGTTCTCCATTTTCCTAATAAACTTAAATAACTTTACATATAAAATTCCAAGGTGTCATATTTATTTTCAAAGTCCGTAGAACTACAACAAAGATCACATGGTTGCCACTCTTACAGTGACAAACTATGAAAAGAAAGATAACAACTGAGGCTGGGTTCTAATAATACTCCCACCTTTTGTTTGATGACATATACTTAATCAATAAAAACAAAATATAAAAAAATAATGCCCATACGAATATTAAGGCTAAATAGTAAACAAAAGAAAAAATTAAGTTTTTAAGTTTCTACTCTAAAATAACTCTTAAAGTATTTTTCAGGTTAGAAATCTAGATGGTATTTTGATTTGTCGTCCACTTCTAGTCACGACAGTCTTAATGTCTTTTGATAAATCTGTAGATGAATTATTCTTTGGCAATTTTGAAACTAAACTGCCTTCACCCTGTGTCTCAGTTTCATTTGCCTCATCTGACTCCAAAGATGAAGGTATTTCAAGAGGAAATATTCTCTGGATTTGTAGAACTAATTCTCCAGACATGGTTTTGACACAAACTACTCAAATGTTGCCGTCTTTTCCGGGGTTTCACTTTTGCTAGTTCAATCACTTTTGCTAGAGGCCACATCACTTTGCGTTTGTCATCACATTCGATAAGAACTATGCCCCCGATTTTTATCTGTTGAGAAATCGGCACTGTAGATGGACGTTGCACTAGCAGGCCGAGATATTCATTTCTAAATCTCTTTCTCAAGAGCTTTCATAAATTCTGCAAATGTCTCAGTCTCTTGTTGAAATCAACTTTATCAAGATGATCCAAGTCAGGAACTGCAAAGACTGGAATTTCACCTCAAAACAAGGACGGTGTCAAAGGGATGAGATCATCAGTGTCCTCTGTAACATAAGTGAGTGGTCTGGCATTCACAGTAGCTTCGCAGTCGCACACCACACTCATCACTTTTTCATAAGTCAGACACGGCTGGCCTAGGACGCAACGCAAAAGCTTCTTAATCATTTGAACAAGTCGTTCCCAAAAGACTGCCGCCCCACCATGGTGCTGCGGATGGACTGAACTTCAGATCGATCTTGTTTGTGGCGGCTTCTAGCTCAATGGTATTCCAGTTAATCGATCTCAGGAGATTATTGGATCCAACAAAATTGCTTCCCTTGTCACTATAAATTATCGATGGCCTTCCTCTATGGGCACTAAATCTTCTAAGGCCAAGTAAAAATCCTTGAGTTGAAAGGGACAAAATCAGTTCCAAATGAATCGCCCTGAAAACAGCACACGTGAAAAGTAAAATCCAAGCTTTTCTTTTATCCTTCAAAATTAATGGACCAGCCAAATCAATGCCTACAATCTCGAAAACACGAGAATCTCTAACTCTGTTTTCTGGTAGAGTAGCAGGCACAGTCTGTAGTCGTTTACTTCCATTCCTCCTGCACCTGACACATGCATATAAAGCATTTCGAATCGTAACTCTGCTTTTCAGTATCCAAAACGTCTCTCTAATCAGTACATGAATTCCTGCATGAGACATAGACAGATGTTTATCAATTATCAATTTCTCCACAATCTTATGATTCTTCAGAATTAACATCGGATAAATAAAATTTTCATGGTCTTTCCTTTCAATCAACCTAGACTTGACACATAAAATGCCTTTGTAATCTTTGAACACACTTATTGACTTCAGCTTCTTAATATCATCCAATGAAAGAGAATCATGTTGAATAATCATCGCAATAGATTTCTCAGCCCTTGTCAATTCGTAAACTTTTAACTCTCCTGTTTCTCTTCTTTCCTCTTTCGGGTATTTCCTATGAATCTGTGTGTCCACCCAGTCATTCTAAGTATTTTCTTACACTTTGAAAAATAGCCAAAGAATTGTGAAGACATATTGCTAACATTTCTTAACGAAACTATAACTGCTTTACGTTTTTCAGTATTAACCTCTTCTTTATTATCGATTGGGATAGAATGAGGCCATTCTTCTTCCGGCAGTGCCAACCAAGGTGGGTCCTTCCACCATCTTGATTCAATGAGTTTTTTCACAGAACATCCTCTTGATGGCATATCGGCTGGGTTTTCCGCCAATTTTCACAGTCCGATAGGATTCTAATTTCTGAAACTCTGTTATTTGCAAAAGTGCTCCAAACTTCTACGTTCTTTACCCAGAATAGTGCTGTTGAAGAGTCGGTCCAGTAATATTCCTTTGAAATTTGGACTTTAAGGTTCTTCTTGACAAATGAGGCTACTTGCATCCCATTAAGACAAGCAAGCATTTCAAGTCATGGTATACTTATTTTTTTCAAAGGAGCTACTCGGGCTTTGGCTTGCACTAGAGTCACTTTGCTGTCTTTATTTTGACTTCTCAAATATACTGCACTTGCATAACATCCCTGTGAAGCATTGGCAAATGTATGATAACTAAAAGATTGTCCTTCTGTCAGCAGAAGTAGTCTGGGAATCTACAGATGATAGCAAGGGCAATTCTTTGACCCACTTCAAGAATTTTCATTTGATATCTTCAGGTAGCTCTGCATCCCAGCTCAATTTAGTTTCCAAGCTCTTTTGCAAGTATAACTTTGGAAGGAGTGTAAAAGCGCAGGTGAAATCTATTGGGTCAAAAACTCTCTGTACAATTGATAGTACGTTTCGTCTTGTCACTGAGAGATCAATCAAGTCGATAGGGACGTCACAAAACAGAGAATCTTCATATTTATTCCACAGAGGACCAGGTACTTTCCATGGTTCGCTCATTGTAGATTTTTCACTGCTCAGTTCTGCTTGTTCCCACCCTCTTATGTCAAAGTTAGCACTTACCATTAACTGAGTTGATTTTGCAATAAAGTATTCTGCTTCTTCATTCAAATTCGCTGAAGTGACACGGTTGTCAACATAGAAGGAATTTTTCAATTTTGTAGCCACTTCCTTCAAATTGGTCTACATGAGGTTCACATTGGTCTAAATGAGAGTTGATCACTGCTCCTAAAGGAAACGGACTGCATTTTAGTCTGAAGACTACTTTGCAATGGCGAAATTTTCTTATTTCCTTTTGTTCCGAGTTTTTCTACCATAGGAATCTTAAGAAATCACGATCAGATCTTTGAACAGATATTTGGAGAAAAGCTCTTTTAATAACTGAGATAATCCCTATTTTCCCTTGCCTAAATTCAAAAAGCAATCTAGGTATTAATTCAATTAAATTTTGACCTTTTTGCTAAACAGTCGTTAAGTGACAGGAAATCCTTTTGCTTGCATGAAACGTCAAATACAGGCCTTACTGCTGTTGTAAAGTTATCTTTGAAGGCAGGTCTGTGGGAAAGATAATGATTGTTAACTCGTTCCTCTTCTTCTGTTACTTCTTCTATTACTCCAGATTCGAGCCACTCTTCGAACACTGCATTGTATGTTTCAAATTTATCTTTCAACATGAGCTTCTTTGTCGTGGAAATCAATAATTTTTCAACAACTTCTCTGTTACTCCATAAAGCTTCTTTATCGTTGATCCAAGGTAAATTGACTTCATATCGATCATCCAAATTCTTCGGAGTCTTATGAAAGTGATCCCACACTGTTTCTTCTAACTCTGAATCAGTTTTATTTTCTTTAGAATCTGTAATTCCTAGTGATTCTAGCTTCCACAAGTTACTGCTGTGAGTCAACATCGACATTATTGTTGATGACGTGGACAAGGAGTTTCTTTCTGACACGTTATCTTTTATCTTTCCCATGGTTGTCCATTCAAGTAGTGATTCCACAGTAGTCAGCCCATTTTCTAATTTCTGAATTCTTCCAGTTAACAGAGTACCTGCTACAGCTACAATAAGAGCTTGTATTTTCAAATCCTTTTTTCCTACATCAGATGTGTGGATAATTTTATGCCTTAGTTCTTCTATCCATGGTCCAGGCTGTAAACTGACTACTGGTCCATAAATCTTCGACTGTTCCAAGATGATTAGTAGTCTAGAAAAATCACCTCTCAGGCTTCTAATGTTCGCTTCATAGCGTTTGTGATTTTCTCTCTTTGTTGTCGTTTCTCCAAAAAGTGCATGAATTAAAGATTCAGATCCAATTGCGTAGCACCCTATGTCTACTGGAGTCTCCTTTAACACACTGCTTGTCATTGAAAATGCTACACCAAGGAGTGGTCAGAAAGTGATGAAATTTGGAAAAAAGAGACAGCAAGCAGCAATAAGTAATCTTTATTTCAAAATGATAGTCAGAATACAGAGCGAAACGCGTCACTCAATAGGATGTAGAACCATGCGGAACAGCGTGATGAAGAAAACACGTTCTAGGCATAGAGCAATAAGAGTGCAGCTGTGTCCAGGATGGATGTCCATTCCCTTTAACAATTGCCACAGTCATCTTGCAATGGTGGGCCAGACTTTGTCAATGGCATCCCAATCATCCCACTGTTCGATTGGTGCAGGTCAGAGAGTTGGTGGCCAGGGAAGCATTTACCTGCGAGCAGGTGGCCTGTGAGCTGTGTGGGCGGGCGATCTGCTGAAAAATTGCATTAGGCAGCCCTGAAGGTGGGGGATTGCCACAGGCTGCAGTACATTATCCATATCTTGAGCCTATTGCCCTGATACGAACTAGGAGGTGACCTGGATCGTAGGAAATAGCGCCCAAACACATTGCCGCACGGTGGGCATTCACAGTTACTCGGCTTGATCTGTCTCCACGTCACTGGATAAACAGAAGCATGACTCATCTGAGAACCCGACGTTTCACCATTCTGTCATCCACATCACTCCAGTCTAGCACCATTCTAAACATTGGCATCTATGCTGTGGAGTCAGTGGCAGTCTTCTTAACGGATGCCGTGACTGCAGGCCACGTTCAACCAATCGACGGGAAATGGTTCTGGTCGGCACGGGAACATCCAGGTTATCTTGCACATACTGCAGAATCGCAGTACAAGTGACTTGCGGGACACCGCCACAGCTTGTCGGCGGATGCATCGATCCATGCGTGCTGACGTCACTCTGGCTGTGCCTGCATCCCTCCTTCTTCCCACATTTTCTTGTTCCAACCATGTTCGCCCTAGCCGATGCACCATGCTCGCATCCATGTGGGTATCGGCTGTGATTTGACGTAAGGACCAACCCTCCCTTCTCAGTCTGATCACCAAACCTCTCGTAAAATTGTCTATCTGCTCGAAGTGCCTTCATTGACGGCGGCCTGGCATTCTCTCCTATTGCACGTATCCTCTGGGGGGGGGAACCAACGTTCTTCGATAATTTGTCTGGCAGAATAATGACACGAGTATTGCCCTTTCTGCATGTTCCTTTCCTTATATCTTACTTCACGTGCGTCGAGAGCGCTGCCATTTCACATTTCACATAACTCAGTGACGTGGTTCTACTCTAAAATTTGCATAAATTCTGACCACCTTTTGGTGTGCATTTTCACGGCGAGAGTATGTATGAACGTTGCGATCCTGTGCCTATAAATGCCATTACTGTCTTCTGCCTTTTGTTTGCATTAATATTAATTAGTAGTGTTTGAAGAAACACTTCATCTAAGAAATTGGTGTTCGCAAGTAATACGTTTTGTGTTTCCTCTTCTTTATTCTTTGCAGTATCATTGCTGTTTTGATTGGTGGGCAAATTCGGACACATGACACCCCATGTCTTTTCGAGCATATCAAACATCGTACATTTGTCTTCATTGCTTGGCTGTGTGTGTCCAATTTTGAGGCAGAAGAAGCAATATGCAAGAAATCTTTTCACTAAAATTGGTTGCTTTATTATGGCCTGAGAGTAAATCATTCGCTGTAGGCACAAAATGTTCACCCTGGTACCTTTTATCTCTTCTACTTTCTTTCTTTACACCCGAATCAATTAATTTAAATCCACCTTTTGCCAAAGAAATTCTCTGCTCTCCTTCCACTTCTTTCTTTAAAAACAATAATAATTGTTTTAATTTCTCAGAGTGACAATTTTCTGCTGCAATTATTGATGTATGATTTCTAATCCAAACTCGTAAAATTTCCTCGGGAATGCAAGATTTCACGAGCGGAAACAGCGTTGTTGCATATTTGTTGCTCGTCGTTCTTATTGACTCCAACAAACGTAAATACGACTCTAACTTGTCATATAATTCTGATATACTGCCCTGCTTTCAGTTTATCAGGACATTTTAATATCAAACCTATAATTCTGAATATAGAATTCTGCCAACAATTCTTCCGCCGAACCTATATTTAAGCTTTATAACTTTTTCATAATTCGGCAGTGCAGGGAAGTTTTTACAGTATCAGTCTTGTAACGGGTATGGTGGCTTGAACGAGATAATGCATCTTAACCTCATTTTGAATTTTTTTTATCTTCATGTATTCGCAAATGTTCCCTAAACGGTAACCAATTTCGCCACCGAATTGTTTTAACTCTATTTTAGGTAATTTCAGTTTCCGTTTCTTAGAATTCGGCAGTACACTGCTAGTAGATTGTATCATTTGATGATTGAAGAATAATTCCTTTTCTACTGTATAAATCTAATTTTTTTTTGTATTCTTCAACTTCGCCCATTCACTTTCAAACTGTCATTGAAGAAAAATTCCGACATTATATTTGAGTATCAAATGCATTAAGTTCACAGATAAATGTTCTAAAGTAACAAGTTTCGTTTTTACAGATTTTTCATCAGGAAGTCCTTTTCTAATTCTGCAAAATTGCGTTAATTGTCCTCGTAAAAGATGCTCTGACAGGTTTTCATTTCTCATTAACGATTCCATTTCAATAAAAATAATAAAGGAAGTCAAATAGAATTAAATTCCAATTAAACCGATAAAAAACTTGACTGTTTTACCGATCACTTCCATCGTTAACAAAATTGTTCGAGATTGCAAGAACCACTGTTTCCTTTCTCCTATAAACTTAAAAAACTTTACATATAAAATTACAAAGAGTCATATTTATTTTCAAAATTCGTAGAACTACAACAAACTACAACAAAAATCCCATGGTTGCCACTCTTACAGTGACAAACTATGAAAAGAAAGATAACAACTGAGGCTGCGCTCTAACAGTGCGACGATAGTTGGAACAAGGAAATGTGGCTAGTTTTAGGGGTGCCAGTGGAAACAGAGTGGCGCCAGCATACGTGGATCGATGCATCCGCCAACAAGTGGTTGTACACATGAAAGCCACTTCCACTTCCATTCTGCAGCATGTTCAATACAGTGTGAATGTTCCTACATCGACCAGAAGGATATTCCGTCGATTGCTGGCTAGAGTTGTGCACTTGTAATGGCCGTTAAGAAGACTGCCATTGACCCCACATCATAGACACCTTCATCTGCAATGGTGCAGGGCTCAAGCGATGAGGATGACGGAGTGGTACAGGGTCATGTTCTCAGATGAGGCATACTTCTGTTTCTCCAATGATAGTCACCATGCACAAGTGTGGCATTGATGCAATTGTGGAATGCCCCACCGCATGACAGTGCAGCATCATTGGTTGGTACGCAATTTCGTAAGATTCTAAGTCACTTCTAGTTCTTATTCAGGCACTATGACAGCCCAACGATACGTGGATGATGTGCTGCGGCCGGTGACACTTTCCTAAGGGAGTTCCCAATGCCCTTTAGCAGCAGGATAATGCCCGACCATACACTCACATCAGCCAACGTGCTCTGCAAGGTGTACAGATGCTTCCCTGCCGCCATTATCTCCCCTATCGAACACATTTGGGATGTAATTGGACACCATTTTCAGACCTCGCCATTTCCGCGTTCAAGACGAACTGTGGCAAATGATTGACAGGGAATGGAGAGCCAGTCCTCAGGACACCATCTGTAGTCTCATTCAAGGTGGTCCTACAACCTACTGAGCCGATGCTTTTCATGCTCTGTATTATGCATATCATTTTGAAATAAAGATTACTTAATATTCATTACTATCTCTCTCTGGTGTTACTATCTCTCTCTGGTTGCTGTGTTTCATCAATTTCTGGCCATTCCTTGGTGTTGCATTTTCAATATCAGGTAGTGTATAGTTAAAAAACTCGAGAAAAAAATATTTTATTAATATATTTTTAATAATATAATTTTAATTTTTGTTAATATAAATATAGTGTTAGATTCTTAAAGAGTTATTCAGAAAAGTTAATTTATGGAACAATTAAAAAATTAAGAAAATTGTGCTTTTCCTTCTTCTTATTTGTTATTACAATATAAGAATTTTTTCCAGTTATTTCAAAGAAATTTAGATTTATTAGAGTATTTATCATTGAACAGTTTCTTGTGTAATAATAATAATTTTTTATGTTTAAACATTTTTTTTATTTAAGTATATAAAAAATTAATGCATGTTTTTATAGGTTTTTATGGATCTTTTCTTTGTTTTTATAGGTCCATTTACATCTTTAAGTTCTGAGAATACTTCAGGGCATTTTTTACTTTCTTGTCGTCCTTCGCCTAAGCAACCTCGTGTTACTCATACTGTAAGTGCTATAAAAAAATCATTTGAACACATATGAAATCAGTTTCAGTTGAAAAGGCCAATATTAACAATGCTTTTATATTTTAAATATTAAAAATGTGTAAAATTACAAAAGAAATGCAGGATGAATAAGCTGACATAAGCCTTCATGTACACTTTATTCATCTTAAAAATTTAGAACTTAAAACACATCTATATCTATAACACACTTTCATGTATTCCTTATTTTTCTTGATTTTGCTTTGGTTACATCAGTGCTCCGCAACCGGTGTGCCATGAGTAGATATAGGTGGCCCAATCAATACATGTATTTACATTTTGCAATTTTTATCATGTATTAATACACAATGACAATTTTTTCTTAATAATGTCTATTTTAAGTTTTTATATATTTCACTGTTGTGTGGTTGTGTATGTGATTGTAAGTGTGTCAGCATTTGAATTTTTTCGGCACTTCCTTGATAACTCGGAACTCTTTGGTGTGCCACGTAATTCCAAAAAGATTTTTTGTGCGTCACAGGTGAGAAAAGGTTGCGGAGCACTGGGTTACATCATTGTTAAACTTGATCAAAATGATTAAAACTTGTAAATCTACAAACTGATATGCAAGTTAGGTGTATGAAATTAATTATCAGCTGTAATAATGTTTGTAATAATATTCTTATGCCTTTACTAGTCCATGTTTTTCAATTACTTCAAATACAGTATTTTTTTTTTTTTTTTTCCTAGAAGAATGCCATTATGAAGTATATATCCCTGCTTGTGTTTCTGATTATATCTGTGATATCATCCCTCTCTTCATCCACCACCTCATAGAGAAATAACTCCAATTTTTGTATTTTGAACTTTTATTACACAAACACAAAACTAATACTAAACTACAATGCTAATAACTGAAATATATAAATACAAATTAATTTTGGTTTCATTAATGGCTTCCATGAGCCTTCCCTATGACCTCTTTGTCAGTCTCCCTCTTGGAAACTAAAACCTTTGGCGCCTTCAGATTAAGAGCCAGCGCCCTCTATACATCTTGTTGGTTGGAGTCACCCATACATCACAATATCGCTACGAAATTTGTAAAGTATTAATTTTATATTTATGTAATTATTATTGAAAGTGTTTTAAAATTTAAACCAGGTAAATATTATCAGTTATTATTATATACAATAAATTATTATTTATATTTCTTTGAGTTTATTTTTGAGAAGATTTTCATTAATGTTTCTTGCTTTGTATATATGTGAATAAGAACTTTCATATAAAAAAATGATTTCATTCACTTTACCCTCTTTTTTTACATGAAATTTCATTTTTTAACTACCATCTAATCAGTTTAATAGTTAGTTGAGATAAAAAATGCAGTGTGCTTTGTAGAAGATTATGTCTGATTAACAAGAGGAATGCTATTATTTTTCAAACAATAGGGCTTCCATAAGTGGATATAATTCCTTTGGTAGTTTAAGCTAAGTGCTGTGATTCTCGATTCAAAGATCTCATTTAGATTTTAAATTAGGAATACTGTGCAATTTTTTTTTTTTTTTTTTTTTGCTTCACTTGTTATAAAATATATAATTAATTTAGTATTATAAATAATAAAATTTAAATATTACAAATAGCCCAGCATTTATATTGGAAATTAGAAAACAATAGAAAAACATCTAAAATACATCCATTTATTTGAAGAAAAATTTAGTATTTGTGAAACCTAAAAAAAATCTAAAATCCTTGATGGGAATTCACGCTGCAGTTAAATTTACTATCACTTATGATTGATTTTACAAATCTTCATTTTTAAAATGCATTTATCACTATCTTTTCAATTTTGCGTTAGGTAATTACTATTGTTTTGCTGCAGAATTACTCAGTATACTATAATGCATCTCTGAAAAAGTTATTAACCCTCTGGACTGCTAAATTTGTGGACCGAAATCGCTTCCAAAATTGTGCGTTTTTTGCATATTTTAAAATTTTAAATCTGTATATATTAGAGAATTGAAAAATGCACTTTTTCTTTAAAAAAAAAATATTTTTATATAGATTTTTCACGAGAACTAAGTTGCCAAAAACCAATTTCAGATGTTATCACCAAAAAAAAACATCTTTTTAAATAAATTTCAGTTTGATTACATTAATTTCGATTTATTGCATAATATAAAATAAAAAATGTATAAAAAATATAAAGTGTTGAGGGAAAATTACCTCAGAAATGCAATTTAGTATGATGAGTTCAACTTCTAGTCTTGCCCAGATTCATTCTAATTAATAATCATCTCGTAGGTAAGTTTGAAAATAGTTCTCTGTCGACTGTGGTCAGAGTTGTGTATGAGCCAAATAGAGAGACATTAAAGATATGACATACCTTTATTTTTCCACAAGGTACCAGTACGAGGCCACCCGGAAGTAGATTATGTTTTCCGTCTGTGTCCGCTAGGGCGGGGCTAGCGCGGCCATCTTGGGGTCAGAGCGTTGCGCAGCTCAGTCTGCATCTAGCCGTGCTAGTGAGAGGTTCGTGCTGTGCTCCGTTCAATACTGTGACGGTTTGAAATGCTGCGTTAATTGAAAATCCCGCGAGCTGCGAGGTGCGCTCAGTATAAGGTTTCTGACTGCAAAAAACTGTAAACCGATAGAAATCTATCGGCAGCTTCGTGGAAGTGTATGGGGACAAAATTATCACTGAAGGTGGAGTGCGTCAGTGGGTCATAAGATTTCAAAATGGCCGAACCAATGTTCGACGAAGATCGAAGTGGAAGACCCAGCATAGTGACCGCCGAACTTCTCGAAAAAGTCGATGCTAAAGTCCGTGAAAATCGAAATTTCACAATAACGGAACTTTCTTTGAGTTTTCCACAAATTTCGCGAAGTTTGTTGCACGAAATCATCAGCGAAAGCTTGGTTACCACAAGTTTTGTTCAAGATGGAAGGCAAGAAGAGTACGAAGTGGTGAAGGCGCAGGCGGCCGAATTTTTCGACGAAGGGAATTTTCCAAGCTCGTACATCCTACGATAAATGCTTAATTTGTATGGTGACTAGTAGAAAGTAGTATTTGAGTGGGCTTCACTGTATATAATAAATTGTTCTATACTTTGTGTTTTTTTTTCCAAAACGTAATCTCTTTCTGGTAGCCCCTCGTACATTGAGTATTTGTCATATCATTTGATAAGCTTCAAAAGCCCTCCAGGAAAAATCAGGCTTTGCATATGAAGAGCCTTGAACGGTATGGGCGAAAGGCAGTAGGTAGGAGAGAATGTGCGTTTTGAATTCGTGTCAAGGAGGATGAGAGTGGTTATCCGCTATGATATGCACGTGGAGTATCATAACAGAAATTCATAACCGTCGTGGAAGTCTTGGGCCAGGTTGTTGAAAAAATGGTGCGGAGATGGTTCGCACATTCAGTATGGATGTCAGCAATGGAGGACATACCGAGAGCTGGACGATGTGCACGGCCACTACGATGCAAATGTCCGGAAGGTGGTGACATGATTAGAGCGAACGGCGTATCACATCGATGAAGTAGCGGAAGAAATTGGATTCACATGAGCGAGCTCAAAGCATCATCGACGACATTCTTCGTACAGAAAATGTCAGCATGATGGGGCCCTGACAATTGACCTCGACCCGAGGAATAACGCATGGGGGTCAGCCTGGAACATCTCGTGCGTTACCATGAAGAGGCAATGACTTTCTGTTTCGGATTGTGAAGGGGATGAAACGTGGGTCCACGATTTCACGCCAGAATCGAAGGCCGCATCTAAGAGTGGAAACATCCGTCATCACCTGTCCGAAGGAGTCAAGACTACTCCCTCTGCAGGTAAGTGGCTCCTCAAGTTCTGGGACGCCGAAGGAGTTTTGGTTGTGGATTTTTGGAGGTTGGAACCATAATGCTACGCACTACTGTGACCCCCTGTCGAAATTGAAAACGATTCAGAAAAAGCGGCCTGGCCTTCTCACATCTGGCATCTGCTGTTGGATACGTGCCAGACCACATTTGGGACGGCAACGCAAAACCATATTGCAACTCTTGGTTGGGAGCACCTACACCATCCGCCATACAGTCCTGATCTCGCACCAACGACTTCCTCTGTTTTTGGCTTTGAAGAAAAATCTCGGGGGGGGGGGGAAGGGCTTTGGAAGGAATACTGAAGTGAAACAACCATTCAACTCTTCTTCCATATGCAAGCCCTGATTTTTTTCCTGAGGCTTTGAAGCTATCAACAATATGACAAATGTTAATGTACTTGGTACCTATGTGGAAAAGTAAAGGTATGTCGTATCTTTAATGTCTCATCTATTTTTTGACTTTCATACACAACTTTGACAACAGTCGACAGGGGAAACTTATTTTTCAACTTACCGTCATAATTATTAATCTAATAAATAATTTAATTATATAATCAAGATAATCGCTGAACGTTTTCTAGCAGCCATTTCTGCAAGAAAAAAGCCCCAAAAAGTGAAGTTTGAACGCTAATACCACATGCCTTCAAATGCCGCAATTTAGTGGACAACTAACGATATCTGTTGGCCAAAATATAAACTAAATGCCTAATACTGTGCATAATTTATTTCAATGGTTAAATGGGGAAAAAATGGGATGCGTTACTCAATAAAGGAAGAAAACCGTATGCTCACGGAAATCGTGGGATAAGCAAATTTTGCTACATTTGAGTTGCCCATGGAAATCGCGGGATGATCAGCCAGAGGGTTAAGTTCTTTTATAATGACTTTCATTTCTCTTTATATGTATATTTTTATGTAATTGTTCTCTGTCTTCTTACATTTTCTATAACTAATAAACTTATGAAATGTTATCGAATTTCTGTTATTCTAACAATGAGGGCTAAGCTTTCTGTTTTCTTTATAGTTATGTGAACTTACGTGCGATCAATCAGGAGACGTTTCTTGTAATCCAGTTCAGACAATATTAGGGGGAACAAATCAAGTACAACTCTCCAGATCTAAGCTTTTATGTCACCCAGACAAAATAAGTTCACTGCTTATTTGTGCTGGAGATGAAGATGCTCAAGGGGTAGGTTATGTAATATTTAAAGAAGAATAATATTTTGATTTTCATGTATTGCATTTTACTCCAAACATTATTGCATATTTTGAAGTCTTAGTTAACAGAAAAAAGTACAGTTTTCTCCCATTGTAGACTAGCAGAGAATTTTATTAGAAAGGTTATAAAACTGACTTCCATAAAATAAAGAAATAACTGCCATTTGTTTATGCAGGGAAAATTTGAGCATTTCTAACCCCCCTCCCCCTCAAAAAATAACTTACTTGATCAGCATTTCTTAAACATTTTCATTCATGACACCTTTATATCATCGAGAATTTTTTTTTATGTGACCTAAGATATTAGAGATAAAATACTGATATAAAAATAAGTATTTACCTATAAATAATTTATTTCTTTGGTAAAAAATATACATTCAAAACAAAGTGGTTTTAGGATTTCTTTCAAGTGTATAAAGGTTATTCCATTATGACAAAGCACATAAAGGCTGTTGCCTATTCTGGTATACAAAAATTAATGAAAAAAAAATTGCATGTTATTGAGATGAATATGCTTAGTTTTTACTGCATAACAAATTAAAAAACTAAAACTAAGCTCAGTGGCATAATAGCCCTAAGCTAATAATTTCGAGGTCTGCAGTGCCTCGAAATCTGCTTTCTTGACCGTGGGCCCTGTGGTACATAAGCATATGCCCTGAACAAGTGATCAGCTTGTCGCAGGACCCCCAGTGTTTAGTCCCCAATCAAACTTGGTACTCATTTTATCGACCCAAAGGATGGAAATCAAGGGATGAAAGGCTGAGTCGACCTTGCCCAGCCGGGAGATCAAACCCCGGACCTGTGGTGCTGCTGCATGATGCGCTAGCCAACAAATTAAATCTTTGTGTAATATTTGGCACTGCTGGACATTTCCCATCTTCATTTTTTTTTTTTTTTTTTTTTTTTCAGCATTGAACAAACAGTATTTGCATTTAATAAGTGTTAATGCTGAAAAATCATTTCACATAAGTATGTTGTTCTGCATGGCTGAAGAATATTTAATACCATTTCAGAAACTGAGAAATTCAGTTTTAGATGTAATCCAGAACTCATTCAAAAGACTTTTATTGAAACTTGGATTTTCACTCACTCAGTTATTCAACAAATTCTTTTTGGATTTTTGTACGGTAGGTGATTAATCTCATTAATGTCAATCAAAAATGGTTTTTAAAATCAAGACAACTTTTTGAAATCAAAATTCGAAGAATTTGTAAACAAATCATCAGAAATAGCACGTCATAAAATATTGTCTACTCTGAAATTTCCACGATTATAAATTTAATGAATGTATAAATATTTAAAAATGACTTAGACAGTTATACTACAACAAAACAGCAGCATATATATGGCTTTTCCCATATTTCTTCAATTAAATCGGCATCTATTCCACTGTCCATGATTTTACAAGAGCTATTGCCATATTGAAAATTACTTGTGATCCTTCAGAAGCAGAACTTTCGTCTGATTGGTTAAACATACCTGGAACACGTCTCCAGGCGGAAGATTTTTGGAAAAGTTTCAAAATGTTTCACCTAGCTAGATGAAACATTTCTCGGAAGCCTTCCACTTAAAGCAGTGATACTAGCATCTCGTTTCTCAGAAATTTCCCGCCTAGCCGTGCACGTCGATAAAAGTGATAAGGCCTTTACAAGCATATGCAGCATTGTAATAAATTATTTATCCTTTTACAAATTTCAGTTTTATGAAGCATTGTATCTAATACATTGTATCTAATATATTTTTTGTGAAAAACAGTAAATCTCACAGAATGAGAATTATTCTGAATGAAAATTAATTCACCGTAATCTTTATATATATAAGCTGCTAAAGTGTGTGTCACCAATAGTTTATTGTTGCCATTCGAAAAAAATGAGTGCGGAAATTAACGTTTACGCAATTTTTAATTAATATCTCGGCCGATTAAAGTCATACGAAGATGAGAATGGTATCGATGGATTCGGAGAATTTTTTAGAATTCAAGATGCACGTCTTGAATTTCAACTCGGCGCCGTTCCGTAGATATTCGAGGAAAAAGAATTTGGCACGTAGCCAAATTTTTCTAATAAGGAAAACCCAAGAAAGAAAGTGGAAAATGTAGGGGAAAATGTAGGGGAAAATTAGTTTTTAATTAATATCTCGGCTAATTAAAATCCTAAGAAGACACGAATGGTCAGAATGGCGTACCACGGACCTGTGAAATCCAACGGTGTGCTTTGCTAAGCCCGGGAGCCAGCCGTTTCAGAGAAGATAATATTACTTCACCTCATATATATATGTGGCTTAAGTGTCTGTTTGTCGCTGATAGTTTATTGGTTGCTTGCATAACTGTACTAGCCAATGGAGTGAAGTTGCCACGGCACAGGGTTGCCGTTTCATTTGAGATGTAGACAATTTCCTGTAAAACTTGCCTTTGCTATGACCATCAATAAGTCTCAGTGTCAAACGCTGAAGCGTGTTGGCATTTTTTTACCTGAGGCTGCATTTGGACACGGTCAACTTTATGTTTCTTGTTCAAGAGTTCGTGAAAGAACGGACATAAAATTAAAAAATAATTGATGGTGCTCTGCAAGGTGAGCTTAAAAATGATGGAAAGATCTACACAAGAAATGTTGTGTATGAAAGAGATCTTGAACGTACCGCCAGTGCTTTCCTTCATTGCACTCTACTTTAAGCAATTAAGCAAGTAGAAGGGGGAAACCCCATGGGGCAGTAAGCAAAGGGGCGTCCTCGCCGCCTGCCCTGTTTAATTCAGTTTAAATTAGCAGACACCTTTGCTCAAATCATTTTAATTACAATTTATAATATCTAAAGCAGCGGTCATTTCGTATGACCGCCGGGCTTTCTAGTATAGAATTCTAATCTGAAAAATACATGCTTCAAAAAATAAAACACATGTACATTTAATAAAATATGTATACATGAAATTGTAAAATAACATATTTTTATGAGCATGTATCAAGAAATCATTATAAAAATTTAAGTATCTAAAAATCAATATTTCATCTGAAATTTGTTTTTCGTAAAAAGTGAACTTTTTTCCGTAGTTCCCAAGAAATGAAATATGGCATCTTTGCAAATGTTGAAATAATTTGATAATTTATTATCATTATGCACTATTCTTATTGGATTTGAAATAAATTCTGATACATTTTTTTTTTAATATTTCAATAGGCTCTAATTTGGGATGGTAGTTGTGGTGACCGTCTTGATCATCTAAGAACAGAATCACCTGTGTTGGATATATCTGGCCTTAAATTAAATCATAAAACTTTCCTAACTGCTCTGACAGATAAAAATTTACGTCTCTACAGTTGGAATGGCTGTTGATGTTTGCACTAAATTAGATAGTTGAAGCATAATTGATTACAAACAAGAAATATTGCTTGACTCTGTGATGTAGTTAGAATTCATTTATTTACATCAAATGACAATATGATGATGAGTTTCAAATTTGTATATTTAATTAAAGCTTTTTAATTTTTTTTTAGCTTAGAATATGTAGTGTATATATGTAAATATTTATACATTTGGAAAAGTAAATAAAAAAAGTTTATTTTTTCAATCAGGTTTTGTAACTTTTTTCCCTGGAGTATTATTTTGAGATATTTTATTATTTATTATGCTATAAACAAGCAAATGTAAGTTCTTTGCTTTTTAATGCTCTTGCAATTTGTTACATCTAAATATGCTAATGAAAGAAAAATCTTATACATGCTGGAATTGAAAAAGTCTATATGTGAGGATTTTTGAGATAAAATGGAAATTTATCAATCAGTCATAATAAATCAAAACTCTAAACTGCTTTCTTTTAAAATATAATTGGCTTAGAAATGTATGTATGTAGTGAATGAATACTAATATAAGGGGCTGTTGAAAATGTAATGAACATTAAACGATGTCAAGTTTCAATAGTTAATGGAAGAAAGCAGGTGCTGATGTTCATGCAGATTTTTTATATCATGACAGCATCATATATGGGTGGTAAAATTATCATGAAACCTAGTCAGTTAAGGCTGGTATACTTTTAGGAATTCAGATTGGGAGATTCTGTAGCAGCTGAAGTAAAAAACATCAATAAAGCATAGAACAACAAATAAAAGATTACTTACCATTGGTTTGCAAAATTTTATTTCAAGTAATTTGAGATTACGAAATTAATTCTGTTGTGGCTATCATCCTTCCAGCATTGATTTGAATGAATTAAACAATTTAATCAATTTGCATCCATGACTGTCTGCACCAGAGACTGCCCAAGCACTAAATGTACACTTTTCAACTGTTTCATGGTGCTTGGCAGTAATAGGAAAAGTAAGAAAACTCAAAAAGTGCATCATACCAAAAAAATTTGCTGATGAAAACAAAGCATATGTACTTCTCTAGAAATAAAGAAGAAATGTTTTTCCAACAAATTGTTACTTTGGATGACAAGTAAATTTCTACTGCAGTGTCTTAGACTGTTGGCCCGTGGACCACATGTGGTCCGCAAATACATTTCATTTATGTTTTGTCCAATTTTAATTTTGATAACGATTGAAAACTAACATGAGTTATACATCATAAAATCTATAAATGAAGCTAATTAATTTACAGTATGATAGGAATCTTATTAAAAAATTTGAAGGCACACATTTTGTTAATTTTCATTCATACTTGTCAAAAAATAAATAATCTCAACTATGAATTTTTGCTCTAAGAATAATGGCTTTGTTTGGGAATACATTTGTATGTGAACAGCGTTTTTTTAACAATGGAAAATAAGAACCCTATAAACTAGTAAGTATGTAAAATCTGTGATCAATGTAATTTCTTTCCAAGACTACAAACTTTGTCAGCCTTCAAGTGTCAAGCTGTAATAAGAAATAAAGAGGTTTATAATTATATACACCAAACATACGTATTTTTATTTATATGTTGATGAAAAATTTAATAAATAAGAGAGAGACTTGATTGTTATTACTTATTCTCAGGTTTTGTCTTATTTGGTAAACTTTTCCTAAAACTTAAAAAGTTTTCAAAATTTGTTTATTTTTAGTTTAAATTAAAGTAAGTTATTTAATGAGTAATTAAACATGTTAGAATTACTTAAAAGAAATGTCAGTATAAGAATTTAATATTTAACTGGCATTGTATTTGAATTACTGTATGTAACCAAGAAAAAATATCTTGCAGGTAGTCCCCCCCCCACATTTCTCAGATATCAGATAGAAAATAAGCATAAATTTTAATTTGTTTAGTTAGTGATGTTACTAATTTTGATAAAATTTTATGATTGTCTAATTAATTAGTCAGCAGATGAAAATATATATTGGATCAGTTTTTAAAGAATTTTCTTATTAATATATAAAAAACTGCTATTAAAGGGAATTTGTGTAATTAATTGTTAAATTTAAATATTAGTACATTTTTTTCTTGAAAAAAGCACTAGTTATATGGGACCCTTATTTTATTAGTTGGAAACTGAAAAAGAAAAATATGTAAATGTAAAATAAAAATTTCTCTCTCCTTCAAAAACTACGAAATGTAAACTTTAGCTGTGATTGAAAAATGTGATCATGATGCAAATATGTTATGAATTTTATATGATAATGATATAATTTTGCACTTAGTGATGCTGGTAATGATAAAAATTTTTATTTAGTGATGATGATAGTTATGTGAATTTGTGCTTAGTGATAATAATAAGAATTTTTTACAATAATTTTAGGATTTGTATTATTGAGTTTTGCTTAATGTAAAATTTAGAAATATATATGCAGGGTGTGAATTAGAAGTTTCAAGACTGGTTCATTTCTGAGTAGGGGAGTGCGCACGGACCGGTTCCACTGGGTGGGGGAAGTAGGGGGTTTCAGGGAACGAACTGATGCTGCAGCAGTTGCCTCTGGAAGCCTGGAAATTGTGCATCGCTTGCAGTGTGAGTGCGTGTCATTGACCTTGGTTGAAAAGTGGGAGAGGCGAGAATGGAGCAACGTTATGCGATTAAGTTTTGCATGCGACTGAACAAAACTGCCACGGAGACTCTCAGTATGAGTCAAGAGGCCTTTAAGGAAGAAGCCATGTCCTGTGCAATGGTTTTCATGTGGCACAAATATTTCAAAGATAGCCACAGGAATGTTGAAGACGACAACCGCTCTGGGAGGCCATCATCAAGCCAAACAGATCAAAATGTGGAGAGAGTGCAGAAACTTTTAAACAATTACCATCGTCTCAGTACTAGATTAATTGCCAATGGGACTCGGTCAGAGTACGGTGTGGAGGATTGTTACGGAGAATTTGATGATGTGAAAAGTGTGTTCCAAACTAGTGCTAAAAGTTTTGTCGGTGGATCAGAAGAAACAACGCATGACAGTTTGCCAGGAAATGCTCCAACGGTTGAATGTTGATCCGAACCTTCTGGAGAAGTGGTCACTGGTGTGATGAGACCTGGGTCTTCGAGTACGATCCTGAGTCGAAGCGTCAAAGCTCAGAATGGCACACTGCTTCCTCGCCGAAGCCCAATAAAGCTCGCATGAGCAAGTCGCGTGTGAAGTGCATGCTGATTTTTTTAAATTTTTTTTTTTTTTATGGTAAAGGAGTGATTCACAAGGAGTTTGTTGCTCGTGGACAGACTGTCACAGGTGACTTCTATGCTGGAGTGCTCCGCCACTTGAAGGATCGAGTCCGGCACATCTGCCTGGCGATCAAGAGCGATTGGATTCTCCACCATGACAACGTGCCCGCTCACACGTCGTGCACAGCCGCCGAAGGTTTGGTCAAGTTCAACATTACAACACTGCCGCAGCCACCCTACAGCCCCGACTTGGCCCCAAGTGATTTTTTCCTTTTCCCCCGAATCAACACAGTCCTAAAAGGGAAGCAATTCGACGCCATCTAGAAGGCTTTGATGAGAGCCCTTGACAGCATGATGCCCGAGGCCTTCTAGAAGGGCTACGAACAGTGGAAGACGTGCTGGCAGCGCTGTGTTGATGCTGAAGGATCATATTTTGAAGAATTTTAGTCCACTGTACTTAAATGTCCAATAAATTTCTGGTTCTGAGGGAAGTCTTGAAACTTTTGAATCACACCCTGTATGTATATATTGTGATTGAAGTAAGATTTCAATAATAATAAGTCACTGTTGAAGTAAGGTCCAATAGTAGCTATAGTTTGCAAATAGAAATTACCCACATGAAGTACTAAAATCTTTTCCCCTTTTAGGTTTATCTCAAACATGTTTTATTGCATGTAAGGGGGTGGAAAAAATTTTTATGAAAAACGCGATCAGTGTACAATGATATTTTGAAACAAATGAAAATTATTTAGAACACACTGTATTCTATGCTGAAGAATATGTTTAGAAAATGAAAACTTGTTATGGCTAATCTCATTTGACTGACCTGCTCAGAACAAACCCATGAATTTTATTGTGAAAAGAAGTGTTGCACTTGTTGTTTTCATGAGCTTTGAGCACCATAAGAGACAATATGACTTTGCAGCTGCTCTGCCCCAGTTTTGAAGGCGAACTTCCTGGGAGACAGGTCTCAACTCTCTTTCCCTATCACCAAACCACTGGAGAGGACTTTGGCTCGCTGTATTTTGAGTGGTCCTGTGCTTCGAAGACACTATACATTTAAAAACATTCATGCTTTCTTGAAGATTCAAGCCTGAATCCCTTGGTATGCAGTTAGTGTCATTAATCACTATACCATTTGGGCAGTGGAAATGAACTTAAACATATCTGAGGATTGTCGTTATATATTTTTACATTCAGTTCATAGCCAAATTTATTTTGATAACGATACTGAAAATAGTGAAATACATTTTTTTCAATTAGAAATCAAGGTAGTATGTATATTTCCCTTATAAAACAATTAGTAGAATCTGCAAAAATATGTTTTAAAAAAAGTTAGTAGGTATATTGTGTAGTACTTCGATATTAAAAAATATATATATATCTTACTGACTCACATATGCTCTCTAGTTTTGTTCATAGTTCTAAAGATTTTTTTAATATTCACTTAATTTTCACCTTCCTCAAGACATTCAGAATGCAAACTTCCCTAAATTTTAAAAGGAATTTGTGTATGTAGTGGTTTTTGGTTTTACTAATTGATTTGTTTCTGAATTTGTGTGCATGGTTTGTGATTTACATTGGCCAAACTAAGAGAGGCTTAAAATTTCGCGTCAAGGAACATGAGACATATGTTAGAAAAAAGGAAACACAGAAGTCTTCTGTTGCTCAACATTGTTGGTCCGAAAAGCACACTTTCAATTTTTCTGCTGCCAACATTCAAAAAAATCTTTGTGTTCTAGTTAATGATCCTAATTCCAATCCATCTTTGCCTTTGGCCTTTAAAGAAATTATGTTTTAGATCTGGTTTCATCAACAGATGGTGCCACTTGCTCATTCTTGTCCAGGCTTTCTAATCATTATTTCCTATCTTGTTCATTTGCGGTTTTGCAGCTGAGGATGGTGGTTCGGTAAAACCATCGAAACTAGTCCTGTGAAAATTTTGAAAATATAACGCTGATTTTTATTGTTGGACTTCTGAAATAGTATTGATAAAACAATTAAGGTGAAGAGCT